TCTCGAACATGGTTACATCCAAACTTAGATCATAATAATCCGAACTTTGATTAACTCGTATAATATTTGAGACTCCAACTGTTAGAGATAACACCATCTGCTGTTATATCTGCTATTATAAGCATCTTAAGTGTTTAAAGCTATTTGTCACCGATGTTCCCTCTAATTGTGTGTTACAGACATTTTAGTCTTACATAACTAAATTAGTGAAAGTTTATGCAATTTGTCATGGTAGGTAGTGTAGGCATTAATATATTGCGTGCGACACTAGTTTTCGTCTACAATGGATTTTTCTAATACTAACAGTGAATTTCTACTTAAGGCACAATAGACTTGTAAACAAAAACAATATACATTACATACTAACATGTATGTATGTATATAATATATATTAGTTAAAATAAAGTTAATGTCTTGCACGCAACCCCGCTATCGTTAGGTGTAGGAAGACGATATAGTCAAGATATTAACGCGAACTTTAATTGAGATTCAATTTAGAATCGAGTAAGTTTTTCATTATTTGCTTAATAGATTTATTATTAATAATTCTTACTTTTTATATTTATTTGCAGAATGGACCCAAGTATTTATATTGTTAATAATGGTTATTCATTGACACAAAAAAAATTGAGTACTTGACCTCATGACGTGAACTTTTATGCAAACATTTTTCTTTTTTGCATATAAAAACATTTGAAGACTATGGACTATGGATATGTAAATTATTAAAATTATATGAAAATATATAAAAAATTATTTGAGCTTCAGAACATTGCTTTTATTGTAGCGCTTTGATTCGTTGTGCTGTAAAATCAGTCAGTCTTTGATATATGAGAACTCCGCTCTATAGTTTGTTTAATTAAATAAGTACCAACTGAGTCTATGGTTGTTATTACTTTAAGGCTTTAGGCTTTTACTTGCAGCAGCAGTTTTTAATATATATTGTTTTCATTAGAATTGCATAAACTTACGACTATTCCTCGACTTCTACTTAGTAGTATTTATATATTCTAAAATTATTTATAAAAAATTGTTCTTTTAAATATTAATAAAATTTAGGGACGGCTTGTATAAAATACTGAGAAAATTCTGCTGAAATCCTATACTGCATTTAGTCATTTTTAAAGTGCAGTAATTTCAATAAAATTTTCCATTATTCGAATTAAAAATTTGTTTTTTTTTATGTTACCAATTCTATTGTCGCTTATTATAGTTGTGTTTGCACACCATACCTTCTCTTCTTACTTATAAGAGTTAATTCCTCGATGGAAGTAGACCAACACTAGGCATTTCCATGGACCAATTCGAAACGCGTTTGTGAAGCTTTAAACTGCCTTCGTTTTCGTTCCTGCACATTGGCCTCAGTTAGAAATAGCACACCAGCTACCAAGGATAACACCGAGCCAACACATGCAAATACGAATGACCAACCAAACCAGTTGTTGGCATGTTCAGGCATCCAGCCATTGCGATTTCCAAAACAAGCAAACACTATCACAGCTATAGATGCACTAATACCAGTTCCAAGCTGTACGAATCCTAGCGATTTTATGAGCGTTATAAAATGTTTCTGGTCCGGTCCAGCACACAATATAAACACCAAAACAGCAATTCCAGATATTAACATACCAATAAACGCTATCGTATAGAAAAACTGTGTCACTATCATAAATGCAGGCATCAGAAATCCACGTATCTCATCATAGCCTGTCGTGAAAGGATCATAGACCCAACGGCACCCAACGAAGAACCTGCGTTGATTGTCATCGTTGACATCTGGCAGTGAACGAAAACAATGCACCCACAATCCAAGACGATCCAATTTAGCGCCAGTTATGCGATAGTCGCTCACAAGCCAACTAGGTGTGGCGAATGCTATGACTATTAACGCAAATGCCAGCACAAATACACCAACGCCGGAGTTACCCGATAAAGTACGCCTCTTCATGTTCACGGTTGGGGGAATATTTTCTTGGGAATCGTTTCGCGCGATATGGGACGCTTTTTGCATCCTTTTATATCAATTTGTTTTGATTTCGTTAATTTTAAGGGAGTGACACCTCGCGTTTGTGTGGCTGCTCACAACTTAACAAAACAATTCTCGCATTGAGAAAATGACAAATACGTCAGGGTTGCAATTTAACACATACATTTACTACTTTATTCCATAGTTTACGTCATTATTAACGTTCATAAACTCGTTACGTACATAAATAACTAATTTCTAGTGCCATTCGTATTGGTTCGCACGCGGCCTGTGCGATTCGAGTAAATTTAAATTTCCTAGGGATTTTTTGCACCACACTTATGTAAATATTTATTTATTTATGTGTTGCACTTATTTATTACTTTTTGGTTAAAAGTTTTTAAATTTATTTATTAAATATCTTATAAAATTTTTACAATGGTAATATCTAATTTACCTAATTTTTATCTAATTTACGCTGCTCGAAATTCTGGTAAATGCCAACATTTGCTGCCATACCGACATAATTTACTATGTTTCTCAATTTATCATCAATTTACTCGAACTCGCACAGGGTCTAAGTATATTCTTTTCTTTGCAAATTAAGTTAAAAGTACTGAAATCTAATTTAATCTAAACAAAAGCAATGAGAAAGTAAGTATTTAATAAAATCTTTGTTTTTATTAATTGCATATATAATTGACATATAAAATATATATAAACGATTAATATATCAATTATATTTTTAATTCTTTCCTCCATTAAAATTCATAATGTAAACATGGTATTATAAGGCCTTTTACTTTATTGTTTTCTTTATTATTATTACTATTACTTCATTATTTATTAATTTATTTGCATACACATTATCGTAAAGAACTAAAATCTATTATTGCTATTATTATGTTTTACTACTTGTCTCTTCTTTTAATATAATATATATGTGTGTTAATAGTTACTGCTGTTTCACAATATATAATATTATAGTTACTGGTGCACTTTGCTGCATATATATCTAATAAGATAACACAATGCACTTTTACAAAAAAACACATGTTGTGATTTTACTTCTTTATTTCTCAATTAACACAACAATAATCCTACAATTACTTGTAGGGTTATTTCTTTTTACTTGTCAATTTCATATGCTGTTTGCGTTTTAACAACAGATGGCCATACGAGCGCAACAAATTATAAACGAAATTCACAGCAACACATGTTCCAGCGCCATCTAGTATGAAGAACAATTTTATTTTGTATAGCAACCAATTAAATGTGAAAAAAGAAATAAGGCGACTAGAGACATCGTTTTGAAAAACAACAAAACGCAATTATATATAATAGATAAATTGTGATGTGTTGTAATATCTTAATTCATTCGTAGTAAATATTATATTGTGTGGCAAAACAGCCACAAATGTAATATAATGTCACTCTACAACATTATTATAATATAATAAGATTTATATGATGAGAATAATGAGTCTTTTATTTATCATTTCTTTAATTAAAATAGATATATACAAAATAAATATATATATATATATACAAAAATAATATATTTACGCAGCTTACTTTGTGATACATCTAATAAGTATTATATGAAAAGTAGCAAACTTTTATAAAATTTGGTAGCACTTTTATTCTTACAATCCAGCGACTGTAAAACGTTTGTTTTGTTTTCGTTTAAATGAAGTTTTTATTAAAAATATTAAAAACATGTTATTTCAACAAATTCAGCCTAATTTTAAAGAAATATGTTTTTTAAAATTAGCACAAGATCATGATGTCAGGAATAAAATTGCTGAATATTGTTGTCTCCATTAAGTCATACAAAATGTTTTTACTTTGTCAAGACAAACATAGGAGGCACATTTGTTATTAGGTAAGCATTGCCGTGGAGTAAAAAAAAATTCTACTAAAATAATTAAATCAGAAAATGTTTTTACTTTTAATAGTAATTATGTTTCGCCAAATAAAAATAGAAAAAGCAAATATTTGAGATACTCATACTAAATTTCTCCATAAATCAAATCTGCCTTATTCGTAGCCGCAATCGTTGAATTGATGGATCTACTGAAATGGGAAATGTTAAACTGAAAAATGTGTGTCCACCACAGAGCGTTACTACGGTGATCGCTAAGCACAATTAATATTTGAATTTTTATGTGTTCTTAATTTAACGAATATTCAAAGAAAAAAGAAAATATTTTAAAGCAAATAATCTTATATAAAAACGTTCTTGTTGATAGAAGGTTTAAACGTAAGCTGCGTCAGTGGAAGACCCAATAGTTAAGTTGTCTGAACTTCCGTAATGGAAAATTGTCAAGGTGGGTACTGTGTGTTTATCACAAATGGTTACTACAGTGATCCCAAGCACAACCGAATGTAAAATTTACTTATTTTTGTGACCGGATAGTCATAGAAAGACTGAAAACTTTTGGCAAAACTGTGCTGAAGAACTGAATGCTTCTGGAGGATCCAATAAAATTCCAGAGCAATGGAAAAAATGTGAGTTAAAAAGAATAAATTAAAGTTTTTGGTACAAGTGCTATTTGTTATTTTGATTTTATTTAATTTTACATACATCACCAACAAAATAAATAAAATACAACTAGCAATAAATAATACAAAAATTTTTCAAGTTTTACTGCTACCGTACCATATACGTTGTTAGCGCGCCTAATATACATATGTATGCGGAAATATTCTATTTATTATTTTCTATAATTTACAGATTTAATTTTGTTATTATTATTTTATTTTATTATTATTATATTATTTTATTATTATTATTTTATTTTATTATTATTATATTATTTTATTATTATTATTTTATTTTATTATTATTATATTATTTTATTATTTCAGTAAAAAAAACAAGCACCTGCAATAAAGCGCTTTTCTGACAAAACATGCAATCAATTGAAAACTTTTGAGGGAATAGATAAAGAAGTGATAGCATTGATTTCAGAGCACGCAGTGGATGGGGATTAAAATATTCCTGAATCAGGCATTCCGGTAAATAAAGCACATGTTTTTTGTTTTACATATTAATAACAACACTTTCTGCTTTCTTCTACAGTAACATCAATCAGATTTTTTAACGCTGGAGTTTCTTGAGAGTGAAGAAATTTTAGTTAACAACTTTGCTTCTCCAATGCTTTCTTTACCACTGGAACCCAAAAAGGCAAGGAATGACACCTACTTGTCAGAACTCGAAAGTGTTAAGCGCCTCATTATTGAGCAAAATGAAAAGCAGAACCCAACATTTCAAGAGATGCTTGCAGTATTGTAAAGCATCAACAATAAGTTGGATGTGTCAATTGACAACACAAAAAAAGAATAAGTAGAATATATATATACTCACCAATATATTTCTCACAACAAAAAAAAAAAATAAAAAATATATATAATATATACTTACATATATAGAATAAATTAAAAATGAATATTGTTTATTTGTGTTTATTTTATTAGTGTTTATTTTATTAGTGTTTATTTTATTTGTATTATTTGTATATATTGTATATTTGTTTATTTAGTATTTTAATTATATTAAGCAGGGCTAACCATCAGACCACGCTCAAAGGACAAGCATGCGAAAACCTTTTAAGAACTCTAGTCAATTGTGCAATGCAATTGCGAGCGTTAATACCATTTGCATTGAACTTTCGCTGGCTTGCACTTTCAGTATTTCTATAATGAGTAATTAACCATGGTTGAAGAGGATATCCGGAATCAACTAGTAACCAAATTGAATCATTATATTGCCTGTAATTGACTTCTAGTAACTTTTTGATTGCGCTGTTCTACCATATGAAGGCATCATAATGTTACGAGCATAGCATTCTAAGGTTTTTAAATCCAAATCGCAAATGCGCTGCACATTTTTCGAAAAATAACCTATTCTATTTTTATAGCAATGCTCTACTTCTATATGAGGATTTTTTATTTTAACGTGCGTGCAATCAACAGCACATATTACATCTGGAAGTTTGTCGCATTGAAAAATCTGAGTGACATAATCAATTATGAAAATACATATATGAAACGAGTACTTCTGTTTAACAGTAGTAACTTCGGTTCATCTACAGAAGTGAGAAATCTTATGTACTTCTGCATCAATTTATCCTGAATAACAAAAGTCATTTCTTTTATTACGAAGTATAATGTTGGCTTGCTCATTGGGCACACAAAATCCTGTTCTGTATCGCTTAAAAACGATCCTGTTGCACAAAAATGCCGCGCAGCAGTTAGCTTTATGTGCTTTGGTATATAGGTGTTTCTGAACCCAATCCTTATAAACGGACATATTTTCTCCAAAAGGCATATAGTTACTTTTTTATTAAACCGAAATAGCTTGACAAAATGCGCTTCTGACAAATGAAATGAGTCAGTTGAATCACGTAAATGCCTTCGATCAATGCGAGGCATATATCTGCGATCATGTACCACTGTAGTTAAAACAGCAAGATATTCCATTTTTGATTCTGAAAATACAACAAACTTTCAAAATAGTCTTTTAAATCGAACTTTCAAACAACGCTCCATTTCCATCAGTTCTCTCATCACATCATAACGAAGTGACAAAAAGCAAGTGAGAACATTGTCGCAAGAAATCGTCCCAATACACCAATATATTGTATTCTTTTAAATACTATTCAACATTTCATAACTTAATAACAACCTTTAATATTTGCTTAGTGAAGTCTTGTTTCCATTCCTACCGATAAATCGAAATTAACAATCTGTTTCCTTCTAATCATCTATACGGGTTAGACTTTGGAAATATTTTTGGTTCATTCACATGGTGTGGATGTAGTGTTTGTGAACATTTAAACTGGCTACCTTTTGGCAAAACTTTTATATTTTTAAATGAGGATATATTTTATTTTCGAGTTTTTCCTATGAACAAAAATTTGAATTTGATAGTGAGTTTCAAAATTTTTATAAAATCTAATTTCCGTAGACATTGGGTTATTATCTTAAACTTATGCTCCCATGCAAGAATTCTTGACATATAATATGGTTAAAGAATTGTTAAATATTATAATTTGCAATTAAAAATCGAAGGAAATAAGACTTTCTTTTGATTCAGAGATGAATTTTAGATTTTTCATATAATATTTATGTTATGTTATTTGTGAAAATATATTTAAACCTCAGCTTATTGTTTTACGCAGTATACATATTTACTAATATAATTAATTTTTTATTTTGAACCGACATTTTTAATTTAAATACAATTTAAAATAATGTAAGTAATCTCTTAATCATTACATTAGAGAATCCCTAAATTTCCTGGTGGGTCACTTTTCTTTTAATACTTACAAGTTCAACATTTTTTGCGATCTTTGGGATAAGTTCTGCAGCAAAATATAAATGCAAATATTTTTGTATATATTTTTTTTTATTTTTATTTTATTTTTATTTTATTTACATATTTTAATGCTAGAGAGAGATGTTTGATAATTACAACTAGTATACATATAGTAATAAGCAATTCTATTAAAGTTAATTTAATTTAAGAAACAATAAAAGCAACATATACTATAAATACGTAAATAAGTATGTTAATATGTAAATACATGTATATCTTGCTATGATGAAATAAGGTCTGGCACGGTTGTACGTTTTAGACGTCGACATTGAGAAGTGCTTTGTTGAAGAGCAGGAGCCTCAATGTTGGCATGATGTGTTAACCGCTCTTCATGGGCTTTGGCGTATTGTTGTGCCACGTTTAGTAGCCAGTCAGTTCTGCTTGTAAACTTCCTTTGGAGGGTGGCGAACGGCACTTGGTCGTCGAGATTAACGAGTGACTTCGGGACATAAACCCGACCGTTTTCGGAACCGATAAGATGACTATGGAAGTCACAATTTCGAACATAGAACGGTGCGTTTACTACACTTCCCAATAATTTATTTGTGGGAATGGTACTTTTGCTGACTTTTGCTCACTGTTTGGATTTACGACCAATAATATAACTTATTTTGTTCAATTTTAAGTCGAGATCTTCTTTTTTTTTCTTAACGTACACTTTCTAACGCACCCTTGCATCCAGTGTAATTTCATTTTACTTCATTAGTGGTATTGTCATGGAATTTATATACTGGACCTTTTAGTTCGATAACTACATGCACTGATTTGGTGTTGTTAAGCTTTATACGCTACTTAAGGGCCCAAGCTACCACAGAATTGTCATTTCGCCGTTGCCTTTTCAATTATTTCGTCGACTGCTAAAAGAGCTGTATCAACAGCAAATGAAACAGCAACAGATTGATTTCAAGTCGGTAAGTTGGATGTATATAGCAGGTACACAAGTGGTCCAAGGATGTTACCTTGTGGCAATTCAGCATCGATATTTTTAAGGTTAGAATAAGTACTTTCATATTTAACTAGAAATTATTTGTCTTCAAAATATGATGAAAAAATTTTACAGGACTGCGTCGATAAAGCAACATTTTGTCAAAGCCTTGTGAAACATCTAAAAAAACTGCTGAACATACTTGTTTTGTTTCTATGAACATGTTTAATAGTTGAGTGTCTTTTTCGAGAAAGTCATTTCGCTGGAGTAAATGTTTCTTGTAGATGTTCAACAAACAGGTTTACTTAATCCATGCTAGTCTTGGCCCATTTATATCCCTTGGTCTTGATCGGAGCACTATGGATACTGAATGATATAAAGCTTTAGTACACACCCCAATGTGTGTGCTTAGTATTCAAGTCAGCATCAATTACAAAGCTAATTTTAAATCGCCCTAATAGAGATTATTAATTATCGTATTTTAATTGAAGCCTAGATGGGCTAGGTAATGCACTTAAAATTAATGGTTTTTTGTTAGTTCCAATGGAAAGTGATGCTGCTTAAAATTAATTCAACTTTTAGGTAATGAACTGTTTAATTTTGAATTAGAACAGCACTGCCATCTCTGATAATGTCGGAATTGGAAGCGTTTTAACCGGTCAAACGGTCAAGCCGGCTTTTATCGTCAGCTTACTGTATATGCACTTACAACATTCCTTCCCCCTTCCAGAGAAGTGTTTGTATTTACTGTGTATAGTTTCTACAACACTTGTATCACTTGATGTCTGGTATCATCCCATCTGGTAGTGTGTTGTATTAGTTGTCGGGATGATGTCCATGTATCGCAGCTAAACGGTCGGATCCCAATTATTTTTGTTTTCAATTTTTTTTTTTTAGTTTCTGAGTTTTAAACATATTTTTTTTTAAACAAACATTTTAAATAACAAAAAAACTATCCTTCAAGTAAATATTTTAAGTAGATAAACAATACAATAAGTATATAATTTATAGTTAACAAAATCATTTTTGAAGGTTGTTATAGTTAAAACAATACAAAAAAAAAATAATATATTAAATATATTTCATATTTTTTAATAACATTTGAAATTTGTATATAAATTTTTTATGAGAAACTTACAAAATAATATTCATTCTTATAAAAAAATTATATTTACAGACTTATAAATACACATAAACTCAAATAGGTATGTAATACAAATTATAGACAATATTTTTTTAGTTTTTTTTTAATTTTTTATTTTTTTTCATGCAACCGTTATAGCTTATAAATAATTAACTTTAATTTTATCTATATTAATTTTTTAAAAATTAATCATTAATTTCGAATTTAAAAGACATTTTAGACAAATTTTAATTTATTAGAAATTTTAATATACATTAATTAATAAAACACCCTTTTTTAAAGTCAATTGTAAAGTGTAAAGTTTATTTGTATGTAAGGAATTTAATCTATATTAAAGTTTTAAAATATTGTCGTCAATTCGTCACCTTTGTTGGTCTTTGTCCTTCGACTACGCGGAAAATTTTCACAATGACCGAAGATGAGTATTCCTATCAAATAATGTTTATTAATGAAGCTTATTTCTCGTTAATAAGCTATGTTAACAACAAAATTGTCGTATATGGGGCGAATATAATCTTCAAACCGTTAATGAATCACCATTTCATCCATTAAAATTGACTGTTTGGTGCGTTTTACATGCTGGCGACATCATCGATCCTTATTTCTTTCGAAATGAGGAAGGAGCTGTCGTTACAGTGAATGGCGAGGAGCGCTATCGAGCCATGCTGACTGAATATTTGTATCCAAAAAATTAACATAACCAGAGAATTAGCAACAATTCTCAAAATATAAACAATAATGTGAGAAACTTTAACAGAAACAGGAACAACTCATACTGTAGTGGCATATTAACCATGACCACACACAATACGTTGTGTGCGACATTTAATGTGTCACACTAACCCGAAACACTCAAATATCAAGCATGACCGAAAAACCCAAATTGTCAGTAATGAAATAATTTATGAATCAGAAATTTGACTCGTCTATTTTGTCATTTCTTTATGACAAAATATTGGTATGCATATTTAATTATTCCAATATGCATTTGACAATTTGGATAGTGGCATGCTCAACACATGAATTTGTGTTAAGTATTTCACAGATCATATTGCAAGCGATAATGCATGCAATATGATTTGTCCTTAATACAGTTGGTCACCAGATGTGTGCCACTGTGAAATAGAAGACCATTATAACTAATAAATGCATATAAGTTATTTTTATAAAATATTATATACGTCTAATTTGGGTTAACCAATTAGACGGAAGTAAATTCAAGTATCAATCAATAGAATCAGTATTCTATTGATTGATGATCCACGAAAGCAGATGTGGAAAAAATGTATAGACAAATAAAAATTGCAGAAGAGCATCAAGATTATCAACGTATACTTTGGAGAGAAAATCCAACAGACAGAATTGAGGAATTTAAATTAACACAGTCACTTATGGAACTGCTTCGGCCCCATTTTTAGCAGTTCGCACATTACAACAAATTGCTGAAGACTATAATGGAGACATTCTTATTAAAAATACAATTAAAGATGATTTTTATATGGATGACCTATTGACTGGCGCTGATACAAAATTAGATTGTAAAAATAAAATCAATACAATTTTCAAATGTTTAAGCAGCGCTGAATTTAAATTGTGGAAATGGATGTCCAATAATCAATCAATCTTGAAAAATCTTCCCATTGACGTCGAAAATAAAATACTGTGCATAGAGGAAGATAATTCAATAAAAACACTAGGATTGAAATGGAATCCAAAAAAGGATGAATTCCAATTCACAATAAATATATTATCAAATGAGAAAATAACTAAAAGAATGGTATTGTCAATATATGCAAAAATTTTTGACCCATTAGGTTGGTTAACACCAATAACAATTATCGCAAAATTATTTATTCAAAAACTTTGGCAATTAAAATATGATTGGGATGAAAACTTAGATGAGCAAATTCGTAATGAATTCGATGAATATAATAAAAATATAAAAACAGTGGAGCAAATTCGAATTCCAAGATGGATGGGAGTCTCGAGTTCAGATAATTGGGAGTTACATGGATTCTCGGATGCATTCTCGGTAATATACATCAAAATCGGTTTACATATAAACCTATTGACTGCAAAGAGCAAAGTTGCACCAATAAAAAACAAGAAGACTATTCCCAAGCTAGAACTATGTGGAGCTCATTTATTAGCAAAACTAATGAGTAAAATAATTAAAATTTTAAATACAAATCCAAAAACTTATTGTTGGAGCGATTCTGCAATCACATTATGGTGGCTAAAAGAACCAAAAAACAAAGAGAGGTTTGTAAGAACTCGTGCAACAGAAATTAAAAATTTAATTCCAGAAACTGAATGGCGTCATATAAGATCAAAAGATAATCCAGCTGATGTAGCATCTAGAGGCATCTGTGCAAACAAATTAAAAGATTACATGCTATGGTGGCATGGGCCTGCATGGTTAGTAAAACCAAAGGAAGAATGGCCAAATGATGAAAAATTAAATGTCAACAATTATCACGACTTTAATTTCAGATAACAATTTTTTGAGTGATTTGATACAAAAAATATCAAAATTATCAAAACTAGAAAGAACTATGGCTTATGTTTTACGATTTATTAACTGTTTGAAAAATAAATCAAAAAATTCAAATCATTTATCAAAGGAAGAACTAGATAAAGTAAGAAATAAAAAAATTAGTCAATACCAACTTACACATTTTTCTTCAGAAATATCAAGCATTAAACAAGGGAAGGAAATAAATATGAATAGCAAACTAATTCAATTACGACCACTTATAGATAAAAATGGAATATTAAGAGTAGGAGGAAGACTACAAAACGCGAACATTACATATAATCAAATACATCCAGTGATTCTAGCTAAAGATCGATATTCAGAATTAGTAATATATCAAGCACATCAATCAACACTACATGGTGGGCAATCATCGATGGAAGCACATATAAAACGACGATTTTGGATATTAGGGATGAGGAAAACTATAAAAAAGATATGCCACAAGTGTATAAGATGCATTCGATTCAATCAAAATTTTGCTAAACAAATAATGGGATATATACCTAGTTACAGAATAAATATATCCCATCCATTCGAACACACAGGTATTGATTACGCAGGACCCATATACATGAGGTATTCTAAAGGTCGCGGTCAAAAATCATTCAAAGGTTACATCGCAGTATTTGTATGCATGTGCACAAAAGCAATTCATTTAGAGGCAGTAAGCGACTTATCATCAGAAGCATTTATAGCTGCATAAAAAAGGTTCTTTTCAAGGCGTGGGAAGAGTGCACATTTATATTGGCGCATTAAAAAAATTAGATAAAGAGTTTGGAAATGCGATCAAAAATAATACATCGATGGTACCAATTCTTGCAGCAGAAAAAATTGAATGGCATTTTATTCCTCCGGCAAGTCCGCATTTTGGCGGTATATGAGAAGCTGCTGTAAAATCCGTAAAATATCATTTGAAGCGCGTAATAGGTGAAACAAAACTAACATTTGAAGAGACGACTACACTTCTAAATCAAATTGAAGCAGTACTCAATTCACGACCACTTTGCTATACAAGTAGCTATATAGACAGTATTGATGTTCTTACACCTGGACAATTCTTAATAGGTCGTCCAATATTAGACGAACCAGAAACTGAAGTCAAAAATAATATAAGTTTAATAGACCGTTGGAAACTTGTACAAAAAATTAAAACAGATTTTTGGAAAAAATGGAAAAATGAATATGTCACGTCTCTACAAAAACGAAACAAATGGTTTAGAGAACAACCGAACTTAGCAGAGGGGCAAGTAGTAATTATTAAAGACGAAAATACCGCGCCTACTAGATGGCCATTAGGAAAAATTACAGAAGTATTTAAAGCAAGGATGGAAAAGTACGAGTAGTAGAGCTTAAAACAAAAAATGGAAAATTAAAAAAACCAATTCATAAACTTTGCTCCTTGATGGATTCTGACACAATCTATGATAAGAAGCACGCGAAAACAGACGAAGTTTATTGCAACTTAAACATAAAATCAAACGTAAAATTAAGAACCTCAAAGTAAGCAAGGACCACCTTGTATTTTTTAAAGTTATGTGTTTTACCAACAGTAAAAGCGGTGGTAAAATCATCAGTTGCGTCAGTACATGAGTTACATATGCATCCACTCAAACGCATAATAAATACAAATATAATATAATGGGTAATAAAGTTAACCCAGTATAAAATATACATTTTACTATTTTACTGTTCGTGACAATTTCTAATATATAGAAATTTATCCATATAATTTTATGATTCACAATATTGAATGATTTGA